GGCTCTCATATGTTACAGTCCAAGCTGACCTCAGATTCCTGCTGCCTTCCTGCCTCAGCCTCCTAAGTGGCGGAAACAAGCAGGGCTACTACATCAGTCTGAACATTCTAGTTTAAAAACATTTCAAATAAAATTGGAGCTGCAGGTAGCGGCTATATTAGTGACTTCTACAAGACATTAAAGGAAGAAGTAATGCCAATTCTATATAAACTCTTCAAAAAATATAAAAATAAATCTTTTCGTATCAATAAAAACATCTTTGAAATTATTTGATGCAAATTTGCTGATATAACATCATCCCTAATGGTGAGACCCGGAATGCCTTCCTTCTGGTGTCCATTCTCACTTGTATTTCTCTCTGGTCTGTAGATTCTGTTATGTGTAATAAGGCAAGATAAAGAAGACAAGTATGCATTGTGTATAGAAAAACCACAAAGCATGAAAGCTACCCTCTGATCCCACAAGTACAACTTGGTGACCTCTCCCCAAATGTTAAGATCTGAATGTTTGAACTGTGAAAAAAAAAATACCATGTACTGTATGAACATAATTACCCACAAAAATGTACTTTATAAATGTGCTATGTATTAAGTTATCTAACTATACAATGAAGAGTAACTTTATAATTTATGTAGCATTTAATCAACTGATGTAGTTAGTGAGCAATATAAGGAATACTGGGGTAAGCTGGAGACCCAGAGACAGCAAATGCAGACTAGACTTCTTTAGGAATGCAAAGGATAGAAGAGAAAGGATCAAAGAAAGCTTTGCTTATGACACTTAAATTTTTGAAAATATATATGCTGACAATATACATTTAATTGAAAATTTCAATTTATTTCAGAGTAAAGAATTAAAATGATGAGCTAGAGTGTAGCTCAGTGGTAGAGTGTTTATCTGGCATGCATTAGGCCCTGGGTTTAATTCCCAGAACCACAAAAAGGCAAAAAAAAAAAAAAAGAAAGAAAGAAAGAAAGAAAGAAAGAAAGAAAGAAAGAAAAAAGTAAGTAAAATGTCTAGGATATATTATTCTTTTGACTTTAAGTCTCATGTAGCCCAGGCTGGTCTTAAATCTGTTGTGTAGTTGAGGATGGCCTTGAACTTCTGATCCTTCTGCCTCCACCTCGGAGTGCTGGTATTCTAGGTGTGCACCTCCATACCATTTATGCAATGCTGGGAATTGAATACAGGGCTTTTTCCACGCTAGACTAAAGCATTCTACCAACTGAGCTACAGCTTTAGCCCTAGGATATGCATTTTAAAATCTGAGGGATGAAAAGTGACCAGAATTGTCCACGCAGGGGGGTGTGAGGATTCCCTATTAATTTACTACTTTGAGATTCCTTAAACTATGTGTGTGTTAACATTTTCAATATCATCTTTAAATAAGAAACATGAACAAAAATCCTAGCCAACAGTTACCAGAATAGTTTCTGAGCAGACTCTGAGGCCCGAGAAACAATCCTAATGACATATTCTGATTTCTTTCTTCATTGGACTGCTCACCGAAGCCACTGAACATTAGAAATAATTTTAATAACTCCCTCAGTTCTCCCTTAGAAGAACCTATACCTCCAGAGGCCGCTGATGCACCCATTACCTGTAATGAAAGCCTTCAGAACCAAAGCTTATTTCTCTACTGAAACTATGGCTGAGAAGGTAGAAAACAAGTGGCTCAGGTGTCCCAGCTACTGGGGACGGGGAGGCAGGAAAACCACAAGGTTGAGTCCTGCTTGACTGCAGAGTTCAAAGCTAGTCTCAAAATTAAGAAAAACCTTGGCATGGTAGCTCACATTTTTCATTCTAACATACATGAATGAGCCTGATGCAGGAGGGATGCTGTGAGTTTGAGGCCAACTTGGGCTTTAGAGTGTGTTACAAGCTGGCCTGGGCTACAGTGACACCTGTCTCAAAACAAGAAAAGAGGTGGGTGGTGCTAAGACAAGGCCTTGCTACATAACTCCAGCTGACCTGGTCCTTTGTAGGCTAGGCTGACTTTGAACCTACAGCAATGCTTTGCTTCTGCTCCCACATGGTGAAATCATAGGAATGAGCCACTGAACTTCCAAGTCATGCTGTCAAGACAGCTCAGTGGGTAAAGGCATTTTCCACAAAAGTCCCACATAAAGGTAGAAGGAAAAAACTCTGCAGTTGTCCTCTGACGTCCATACACATGCATGCATACGCACGCACACCTCCACACATGTACTCACACAAAAATCTCAAAGTATCGAGTATGTGTGTTGTAGATATGTGTACCACAATCACCAAGGAAGTCTGTTAAAAACACAAAGGCTCTGCTTGACCCAGAGTCAGCAGTGTCCTGGCGGATCTGCTTGGGTTTTCTTTCTGCAAAGGTGTTCGTTCAAATGCTTAAACTGCTGAATCCATGAGATTCTAACTTAATACTTAGCAATGTGCTTTAGCATTTTTAAAGTTTTAATATCTGTTTTTTCCTCACCATAGAGACTGAGAGAAATTAACAGTATGATACGGACCGGAGAGACTCCAACTAAAAAGAGAGGGATTCTCTTAGACGATGGAAGTGAATCACCTGCCAAAAGAATTTGCCCAGAAAATCATTCTGCCCTGTTACGTCGTCTCCAAGATGTAGCCAATGACCGAGGTTCACACTGAGGTTAGCCTCCAGTATGGAAACTGTCTTCACATCAAAGGCTTAGCAGTTAATGCATGCAGGATTATGGAACACTGCCCCCTTAATCCAGCAATAGATTAGAGCCTGTTAGAAAAGGGAAGCTCTCTGACTGGGTGTAGCAGTATATACCTGTTATCCTAGCACCCAAGAGGTAGAAAGCAAGAGGACCAGAAGTTTGAGGACATCCTGGGCTACATGGCATGTCTGAGGCCATCTTGGGCTATATATATGTAACCCTGACTCAAAAACAGAAACAAAAAAAGGAAGGACATTTTGGTAAGAATTTAGACTTACTTCAGGATATTTTTATTCATCCCAATTGCCTCTCCCTCTACTATTGAGTGCTTACCTTCAACACTGCCCAGAATCGAAACCTGGATTTTTAACTCTGGTAAACGCTTAGAACTATTGCAGAAAACAAAACTTTAGAGATTGTATAGGTGTGCCCCAGCAGAGGAATTGTATTTCAAGTCATTCCTATTTGCATATGGTCAGGTCCAACCATGTGCTTTAGGATGAAAACACCTGCCATGTTTACACTTACGAAACAGAACAGAGGGGATGGCCCAGACCTGGGTGTCTCCAGGCACTTGCCCAAGGCTCCTGTTCCCTTTGAGCACTGTCCCTTCCCCAGGAGATGTAGTACAGTGCAAAAGTTGTGCAATGTCTGAATGAGCCTGTGTAATTGGTGGCACTTTAGGGCTGTAAAATGCATGGCGCTGTAACCCAGATTTTGCTGTATATTTATGATGGCACTTTCTATAGTGTGGACTTTAGTAGGTACAAGACTTCTAGGCTAAACAGCCAATGTTTTAATGCTTTTCTTAAAGAACTTGATATAGCAACACGTTCTGAGCACGTGTAAAATGCTCCGGTTTGTGGTAGTGGCATTACATAGGGATCATCTGGATAAGTAAAGATTTTTAAATTAAGTTGAATTGAGAATTTGAAAAATTATGACCACTTCCTTTTGGAGGTAGTTATCCAAAGGAAAGTATCTTTGAGGGTATACCTGGAAGTTAAAAAAATAGGTTGATGAATTTAAGTTTTTATTAGTACACAGTACCACTTATACAAATTAGAAAAGTATTTAACAGCTATTGATTATCTACACATATCTTTATTAATCATTATTGTTCCAGTCGTTTTTAAGTTGGATTAATAATCCTAAGGAGAAAATTCAATTGTAAATTGGATCTTTATAAGCCAAGTTACTAGGTAACTTGATACTGCTCTAAAGAACAGACCTGGCACTGTCCACTGGAGCAGTGCTGTGCGAAGTACTTATAAAACCTCTTGGTACCGCTGCTGTAATTTTATATGAAAATATGTGTATTTTTCAATAAAGCACTTATAAATTAGTCTCTGTTTAGTTATATTGAAAAAGAGCATTAGTGTCCTGCATAAATGACAATCAATCATTTATTGGTTTATTTCATCTCTACTAACACATCGGTCATCCACCATTTAAATACCTGACTTCATTAGAAACCGTTTGAACACTTCTTTCTTCCTCCTGCCATAAAAATACAGTAATTTGCTTTAAAAAACAAAAACAAAAACAAAAAAACTGAACAAGCATCCTGGTTCTGCCTACTTTCCTAATGCTTCTGAGACAGACGTTTACAGCAAGTCAGCAGGCTGAAGCCGGAAAGCCAGTCTTCTACTTGAAAGTGCTGCCCTCTGGATCTCTTCTCTACACCCTTCTTCTTTGTGGCCTAAAGTATGTACAGCTGAAACCACCAACTTCCAACTACCACCTAGTGTTCATTCTCTTCGCTGTTAAAGTAAACACAACTCACCTCTACCATATTCAGAAAGATACTTAAGCCTCAAGGTCCCCAATAATTTGGAGCACTGAACTAGATTCACCCCGACACTTCTGACAGAAGTAACGCATTACTTAATGAGAGGTCTCCACAGCCTGCTGTTAGAACCCACGCATACACAACACTGACAGCCAGTCACTGTCCACGCGGTTTACTCTTCAGGCAGTCCTTTGCCATTAGTCAGCTTTAACTAGGCCAGAGTCCAGCAGGAAAGTGCATGGTGCACCAGATCCACCATCTCTTAGGTTGCTACTGTTTTCTCTTCTTTACTGAAAGGTTGCACTGAGCCAGGCTTTACCCATGACAGGCCAGCAACATGAACACTTTTATTGTGCTGTTCGTCAGGCTTCTTCTAGGCACAATCAAAAACAGACATTTAAAAAAAAATACTGATGAGCAAGTTCAGAATCATACTGACTAGTTTCCCCAAGAGTTAGCTGTATGTAACCAGTGACCTCAAGTACAGACAGTAAAGAAACCAGGATAGCCATTCCAAAAACTGGTTATGCACTTACTTTCTGAGTGAGCATCTTCTCTCTGGCCTCATCGTGTACAGACGGGTTCCATGGAGAAAAGCTTGAAGGGCAGAGAATATTAAAAACAGTTCATGGCTTCAAAACATGTACAACATCCAAGTAAGACAATTCTAATAAAACTTAAGAAGGAAGAATTTTTTTTTAAGGTTTCTCTGTTTGGCCCTAACTGTCCTGGAACTCGCTCTGTAGAACAGGCTGGCCTCAAACTCAAAGAGATCCACCTGCCTCTGACTCCTGAGTGCTGGGATTAAAGGCGTGTGCTGCTACCACCATCACCACCACCTCCCCCTCAACCCTGGCTAAAGAGCAATTTTTGATCAGTTGCTAGCATGTACACTGATATTATCTCAAAGTGTTATCTAAAAGTGTTTCATATCATAATTACCTCTTATAAATAGACTTGCCCCTACAAACCTCATACCACCCCTGAAATATTAAAGATGAAGAAAAACAAGGCAGAATAATCCAAAGCTAGAAAGTCCAGAAACCAAGCAGTCCATCAGCTGAGCCCACACACAGCACTGCTTTCCAACAACACAAGAGCTATAGGGCCTCCATTCTATTCTAGAATGTTCTCTCCACCAAATCTATATGGTAAGGAGTTGGGTTGGATGATGTAGTTCAGTAATCCAAATTATTGTGGACCTTGAGATACATTTTTCTGAATATATTAGAGGCAAGTTATGTTTACTTCAACTAACAAGAGTAGAAAGAAATGAGCAAGCACTATGGAATAGTTTGGAGCTGGTGGTTTCAGCTGTATGTGTGTTAGGCCATGAAGGGCATAGAGAGTAACTCACACTGTCCTCACATGAAAAAAAATGAATAAGCACTTGACAGATTCTCAGGAAACCAAAGTCACTAAGTATTTCATTATTGGCAGTGTGTAGCCACACAAAGCCTCTGATTTAAGGTCAAGAGCCCAAGTGCCATTAGGAGTTGAGCTGACAGAAAGTGGAAAGCCCCAGGCCAACATTACATATGTTTCTCTAAAGCAGAAGTGTAAAAGGCCAGGTGACATACTACTTACCTAATTGCGTAGGGGTCTTCTATTTTCGGCTGGTCAAACAAACGAGCAGTACATACTTTAACACTGTCAACCACTTTACTTTTAAAAAGCTGGATGTCTTTCTCATACCTGTGGTAAAAGTTTTAAAGCTTTACCAATTTATCTTAAATAGTAATAGTAAACAATAAGCTTATCCTAATTAAGTAACACAGTAAAAATCACATACAGTACTGCAGCCTCTGGGTTCAGGGGACTTGTGGTGTCGATCTTGTAGAAGACTCTCCTTGCGTACATTAAGACTTGCCATATGTGATTATGGTTCCGCCTGCAGGGAAACAGGGCACGACTACTTCAGCTTGTTCCTGGTGGCTGTGCTACTACAAGAAACACTGATACACTAACCTCCACTTTGCAAATGCTCTCTTCACATCCAGTTCACCTGAGGTGGAATCAACCAGCGGGTGAAAGACGGGAATATCGAACAGCAGGCGCTGTATGTAGAGAGAAACACTTGAGTGGGAGGATGCCATGAGCCTTAACTACAACCACTTTCCTGGAAACCGTTTTCAACAGAGGAGATTCTCCTCTCCCATAGCATAACTATCACCAGGCAGACAGTGGGTGGTGCAGCACAGCCCCCAGCTCACCCACACCCCCCAGCTCACCCACACCCCCCAGCTCACCCACACCCCCCAGCCCACCCACACCCCCCTGAGTGGAGAAAGGAGGAAGACGCAGGCAGAGTACATGACCCCAGGTAATAAAGCACCAAACCCTGCTGTCTGTGGGAAACATACATGGAGGAAGCTGATTTCATTACAACATCTAAGGTCAGGAGAAGAATCAAGAAGCCTGTTAGCCTTGATTTCCCCTCAGTGACTGAAGAGATCAACTACAGTCCACTTACTGGACAGTCGCCATCTGGATAGTTATCAGGAATATACACCGTAAACTTGAATACGCCATCCTGATACAGTCCGTGTCGTATGAATATTACTCCAAACCACACTGCAGAGAACATACACATGCTAAAGTCCCAACTGTATCAGAAGACCCCACACAACAAAAATGAAGGTTGAATCTACATCTTACCTAATGCAGAGCGATACGATGGCTGTACATAGACACCCGGTAGCTTCTGCTTCACCACCAATGTACTGAAACAAGAGCAGTATAAGGAGCTGCTACAGATGCCAGCGACGCATCTAAGTCAAACCACCCCACATTTTCTGAGACAGGTAGCCGCTGTGCTCCAAGTACAATGGAGTCATTCTGGTCTTGCACCCGAGTCTCCTAGATTACCACACACCCTCTTCCTTCCAAACCAGTCCAGAGAAACTCAAGCCAATACAGGGTGCAAGACTCAGAATGCCAAATAGGGTCACAGAATCGAGTTTTACTCTCAGGAACAGGTCATTTTGAACACTAAAATTGAGGTAAATGAGCTGATGTGGCAGCCCCCACATGCAGTCCCAGCACTTGGGGGCGGAGAGTGGTGGATCTTTATGAATCAAGTTTCTACATAGTGAGACTGTGTCTCAAAAAACAACACAAATCAAAGCAAAAGCGCACAATAAAATTGAGGTAAATGTATTGGTAAAAATTATTGCTTTAGAATTCATATATTCATAAATAATTCAAAAATTATTTTTCAGTATTAAAAATGTACTTTCCCTTTGGGCTTCAGCATACTACTTTTGTAGTACTAAGCTGAAAGCAAACTGTTTTCAATTATAATCACAGGTACTAAGAGTCCAGAGTTGCCATCACTTAGCTGTCCTTTTGAGTCAGCCTCACCGGGTCAGTGGAGGGCAGGCAGGCTTTTAGGTGTACAGTGTTGCTTGTGGAGCTCCCAAACACCCTGAGCGCAGACTCTTTGGGCCTTGCTAGAGAAGGTGCATGCTGACACAAGGCAAGACACAAGTATCGTGCCGGAATGAGGCTATTGCTTTTCCTGGGACCCTGTTACACACCGGCAGCTATTTTTCTTGGTTCCCTGAAGTTGCAGCTATGAGCTTTGATCTGCCACCGAAAAGGACAGTGTTGACCAAAGCACCCTAAATACAGTTACCTGCAAATCCTGAAATGCACAGAGAAACAGTTTATGGAGCTTTTTCTGGAACGGATTTTTATGTGTATGAGCATTTTTCCGGCCATGCATGTAAATGCATCATTGAGTCCCTAGTCCCCACAAAAGCCAAAAAGGGCATCAGATCCTCTAGAACTGTAGAAACAAATGGTTGTGAGCTACTATGTGGGTGCTGGGAACTGAACTCGGGTTATCTGCAAAAGTGTTAAATGCTCTTAGCTGCTAAGCCATCTCTCTCGCCCCTGGGGCCTTGTTTATTCCCTAAATACCTTGCATTCACTTTTCTAAGTTAGTTACTGCTCCATGCTGACCTTGAACATTTTCTAAGTTACTTATTGTACTCCAGGCTGACCTTGAACCTACAACAGCTCTTACTGCAACTGTACCAGGTGTAGCTATTACCTTTTCAAGTCCCTGAGATTCAGCAGGTCCTACAGAAGCATGGCTAGCAGATAGAGCTACCCAGAGATGTTTGTCAGAGAGGGCGGTTTTGTGTTTAATACACAGCCAACTTTCAGTCTCCACAATAGAAGCCTGTCCACCTCATGGCTCAGCCAGAAAACACAAGGCATTCATGACAGAGCTGAAGAGACCATTGCTACACTACACTGGGGCCTCATTCCCTCTGACCATTACAGCATCAGTACCCTAGGAGGAGTGATCAAGATGCTTTGAAAATAACCAAACTACAGAGAAACTTAAGGATTAGAGAAATCAGGAATTCTCCAGACTTTCTGTCCCTTTAACAAATGGTCCAAACTACATGGTACCTGAGCTCTTCCATGTGCCAAGCGGTGTGTTGTTGCTACTGGTGTGCCGCGCAGTCTCAGTCCCTGTTCTCCTTAGGCAGGGACACCATCAGTGCAAGGGAGGGCCTATGACAAGCTACACTGCCCAACCTTTCCTCCTGATATGGACCTTTGAGGGTTATATCAAATAAATCTTCTAATAATAGACCTTCTGACATATGAAACAACATGGTAAATACTTTTCTAAGGGCTGGCAAGATGGCTCAGTCAGTAAAGGTACCTGCCACCAAGCATAGGAACCTGAGATCAATCCCTGGGCCCCACATGGTGGAAGAGAAGTAGCTACAAGATATCCTCTGATCCCCACCTGTGCCATAGCACACACCCCCAACACAATACAATAAAAAAAATGTAATTTAAAACGTTTAAGCACTCTTGAGTTTTTTCTTCTAAGTCAGTGTTTCTAGTTCCTTTACCTACTAACTGTGGCTTCCGAACACTTTCCTACTGCAATTACTCCAGTCTGTCAGAACGCTTCCTACAGCATGAAAGCCAAAATGGAGCCCAAACTTCCCAATGTATGCGACCCAAGAGAATGCCGCTCAGCTTCTGCCCACTTGCTACAGAAACCTCTTCAGTGAAATGCCTCACAGAAAAGAAGACAGAAATTAATCTACCAAGTTCCTAACCAAGTGTATGTTCTCAAAAGTCCTGCCTGCCTTCCTGTTCTCCAAAGAACAGCAAGCTGGAGACAAGTCTGAGCCTTAAGATCAAATCACAAGTCTATCAGGAGACATGACTTCATTCTTAACTTGCAGGGAGTCATTCATAACTGACCAGTCATCCATGAAGGACTCACAATTCTGCAAGAAGCGAGTACTCCAGGTAGAAGGGCCCGTAAGAGGCATGGGTGCCATTTGCTGACCGTGCTGCTGGGGCTGGAGATGCAGGCTTCGTTACGGGCAGGGCGCTTTTGGGAACAGACGGCAGCTGCTTTTTCGGTGCAGTCCGTGGAGGACTGGTTTTCACATCCCCTGCTAGTGTCGTCTCTTCAGCTTCAGCTCGCTGTTCAGAACGAAAGTGTGACAGCATTTATGGCAACTCTGAAAGCAGCATACGGAGAGCACCACTGTGGCTTCTAAGCTAGAGTTACTCTTCCCATAGGAATTCTCACACCATGCTCAAGATGCCTTCAAATCCCTTGAGAGGGCAGGTCACGGAAGGAGCAATAAGACTGAAGCATGACTAAAGCAGTAAGAATCCATAAGAACAGTGTAGTCAATCAGGCCTTTCACGAGCAGCTGAAGCAGGAAAGCCATTAACAAGATGAGAGAGGCCTCATGTACATGCAGACACTGTAGAAACGGAGTTGAAAATAAACAGTGTAGGTGGCGAGCTTAGCTGCTCCCTGATGTGAGCACAGGGATAGGAACAAAGAAATGAAGCCGTTATCTCATCTGCTTAGGTCGCATATGATCCCGCTATGTTTCCACACTAGCACACACTGCTGTCCTTAGTCAATGAGCTCGTAATGACCAGAAAACTAGCATCTAGTTCACTAGTGCTTCTGAACCTCAAATACAACAGAGACTATTTAATATATCGTACAAAACACTCTGACTGTGTGCAAAGGAAAAAAGTAATAATGATGTTGTGCTACAGGTAGAATTGAGCTTTTAAATTACTGTTTGTATATTTTTTTTAAAGATTTATTATGTACATACAGTGTTCTGTATGTATGTATCCCTGCAGGCCAGAAGAGGGCACTAGGTTTCATTACAGATGGTTGTGAGCCACCATGTGGTTGCTGGGAATTGAACTCAGGACTTCTGGAAGAGAAGGCAGTGTTCTTAACCTCTGAGCCATCTCTCCAGCCCCGTTTGTATAATTTAAGCTTATAGGAAAATTTATTTTTTTAAAGTTTTTTTTAATTACATTATTTATTTGGGGTGCATGTGTGCCATGGCACACATATAGAGGTCAGAGGACAAATTCAGACTTGGCAACCAGTGCCTTTATCCATTGAACCATTTTGCCAGCCCACATATATATTATAGTTAATATATAATAAAACTGCATGATAGCTCACACTTATAATCCCAAAACTCAGTAGGCTAAGGCAAGAAGACTGCTGTTTGAGGCAACCTGGACTACGGAATATCAGGCTATTCTGTGCTATATAGCAAGACTTTACCTCTAAAAAATAAAGACATTTCATTTAGATCATTTAGTTATTGTCCAAATCTTAGTTGACTTGATCAAAGCTTCTCTAAAAACCAAATCCTGAAACTATAACAGAGAAATATTCAGAATATATCACAATTTCATCAAGTATACATACAATCTAAATGAAACAATCTTAGCATAGTGATCCATCAGAACTTCTGCTGATGTGAACTCAGCCCGAGAAACTGATTTTAATGGACAAAGTGATTTCTCAGAAACAAACCCCAGTAATTTTGGTTAAAGATTACAGGTGCTCCTGCTAAGAGATTGTTAGCCCTCCCTTCTATCAGATTGCTGTTTGACTGTACCTACTTTGCGCACAGAGTTTGCAGACATGCTCCACAAAGGGTTCATAACGTGTACTCCAAACAAAGAACTTCAGTGCTGTGTCATCAAACTCTTCTGTCCTCAGCGTTCACGCTGCCTTGAAACAGGTAGAAAGAATACAACACACCGACACCAGCAGTTAAGACAGAGCCGAGCATCCTGGACACGCGTCACGCCAAGCAGTGCACAGATGGAGAGACCTGAGGATGCCGTCAGAGAACTCTAATAATCTCCTCACCACACCTTTCCATTGCGGGCTCCAGTTCCTCTCACACCCTCACATCTATATGAAACTGCATCATAGTCAAGCATGCCAAGCCCAGTACTTGGGAGGCTGAGGCAGGAGGATCCAGAGTTTGAGGCCCGTTTAGATTACATAGTGAGACCCGCTGACACACAAGAACAAGCAGACAGAAATATCACCTATGTGCCAGGGTCACAGAAATGTGACCAGCATTTAGAATAGTCGTGAGCAGACTTGCTCGTCAGCTTGCTCTACCACACGGCCACAGCTGCTAGCATTGTATCCAGGCACCTGACTATACTCAGGATGCACTAACCGCCTACAGGCAAGCTGTGTCACTGTTCCCACAGGGTCAACGTGGGTGACTAGGAACATCGTGAATGAGTGTGTCAAGTACAAAACTAAGAGCCAATGAAGTAAGAAAAAACACAGGAGACCAAGTATACTTGTATCAGGAAAGGAGATAGAATCCTGTCCCCATTACCCCAAAGAACTGCCCTTAAAAAGCAACAACGAAAAACAAAAACGGGCTCATGATGTGGTCCAGAGTGTTCATGAATTCACTATGTAGCTCAGGCTGGCCTCAAACTCTGCACATTCCTGCCTCTGCCTTACACTACTGAAATACAAGTCACAGGCAAAAGGTTCGTAGCAACAGGAGGTTTGTTCAAAGTACTAAAGTGGAAATTCGGTAGTATTAGGCACTCCAAGAACTGTGAATGTATAAATTCAGGGAGGGTTCAAATGAGACATTTCACTAACGTTATGCTTGAAGCATCAAGTAGTGGATAAGAAAGCAGCTTTCAAAGATCACAAGGTCAGTGGGTCACTTACTAAATACACAAAGACGCAAAGGAAGAAACAGCCAACCCAACCAGAAACTGTCTCCCCGAGGTTCTGCTGGGTTTTAAAGTGTGGCTCCTTATCTGAATTGCTGTGTTTATCAGTGAAAAGCTGAATGGCAGTGAAAAGGGCCAAAACTTAGAAACATTTCCTCAACTTCCTAAGCGGCACTGCTGGACAGCGTCTCTATCCGGCAGGGATTTAGGTTCTCTGGAGTGTCTACAGCATCCATGGGTGGCTACTAGCGCTACCATCCCAGCCAGAGCCTATAACTGCTGTTGTGCTTTCCAGGAGACAGTGTCACCCAGTAATTAAATCGGAGGACAGGGATGCCAGCTCCCTCACTAACTTGCTGGTTCGCAGCCAGTTAGCAGACTTCGCTAACCTGCTTTTAATGGTGGCTGACACACCAGGACACGGAAAATGGGGAAGGAGGTATATTTCTGTTTGGCTCCAATGAAAACCACATTGGGTTTTCAGGACCCGCACTGCACTGTCTAGGTAACACCTGTTTTATCGGGGTCCTTCGCCCATTGAGACTTGGTGTTTCCTACTTCTATAAATACACTGGCAGCAGGTACCTTTCAAGTCTGTGTCTTTTGCCTTTAAAAATTCAGTACATTGTCCTCAGTTTCTCCAAGAGACATCGCAGCGATATTTTTAACGAGATGGTCCCAGTAGCAAGATAAGCACATGGAACTGTAGCCAGCTTTTCAGAAACTACCTAGGTTGCCTGATGAGCAATCTGCCAAAGGCATAGCATGACATCGTCCAGCAGTAATGACAGATCTAAGAAAAACAGGCTCTATCCTTGCTCTCAAAAACCACCACCAGGCTTTCTGCTCCTTTGGCTCTAAGTATAAAAAACGATTTGCTTGGCTTTACACCTCACAGCTGAGTGAAGTTGGCATTTTCACCTGTGCGACGATGGGCAAACCGCAGAGGGCAAGGGAGACTTGACTACCATCGTTCCTCCTCTGTGACACAGAGCTAACATGGGCACTAACTAATACACCACCGCCAAAGCGGGTTTATGAAATCCAACGTTAAGAGACCACCAGGGAGAACCGAGGAAAAGTAAACAGCCCCGGCCTCAGACAGTCCGGCTGGGTAGCTAGCAGGGCCGGGCACCTTCGCTCGGGGCGCAAACCCGTCTCGGAGCACGTAGAGAATCTGGACAAACCTGTCCCGAGGTGATGCAAGGCTGGTGCCCGGCCCTAGCCTCTAAGCTGGCTGGAGGCCGGCCGGGCCCGCGAGTCTGCAGTCGAGGCCGAGGGCCTGGGGCTTCGCAGCAGCCCCTCGGCGAAGCGACCGGACACAGCGCGGGCCGGGAAGCCCGACGGGGGAGCCACCGAGCCTGCCTCCCCTTTCTTCCACGGTCGTTCGCAAGGCCGCGCAGCAGGTGCCTTGGAGCGCAC